ACAATGCAATTTTATAAATATATTCATACTTGTTGTGAACTAACTTTAAGAACAGCTACGAAATAGTTTTAAAATTACGTAGTTTGATGGTAATAAAGCTGAATCAATTATGTCAAATTTCAATTTCTTTAGAATCTGTTTCGTTTGAATTGCCAATTTGGTAGGTGTATACGGGACGTTTGAAGGAGTTGACCTTCCTAACGGCCGGGTAGTTACAAGGCACGTCTTGTAGGTGGTTATGCATAAGGCGAAGATGGGTCATACGATCTGACCACGATCCAATTTTAAAATAAATTGGAGTGGCATTAGATATGAATATTCAAATATTTAACATGTCAATAATCGGGGAGTTATATAGTCATATGATTTATAAAATGTTAATTTCAAAAGCAATCCATGCTTCTTTTGAGGAAAAGCTAAATCGGCTCAGAATCGTGGTGACGTCAATCCTGCAATGCGACTGTTTACGATGTAAAGCCGACTCGACACTTTGTTAATTAAAATAATAAACACAAAGAAGCAATCCTTGTTGTAAGTATTATTATCATTCTATATAACCTAAATATGATCGCGGAAGGATCACTTAGATTGCGGTAGGCTTAAGATGTCATGAGAATTACTCAATAATTGTCAACAAGTATCATATTGAAGGCACACTAATGAGGCTAACACCAGACCGACAACATTCCATAAATTTACCCCGAAGAAGTCAATTTAGAGAAATAATAAAAACCGTTATTATAATTGTTATAATATTAATAGTAATGTTAACAATAATATCCATAATTTCATGCGCATAATGTTATCACAAACATGTCCTTATGCCTTTTAATGGAGAAAAGGAAGGAAAAACAATATTTTTAAAACATCACATAGTTGGTCAGACTTGCACAACATCAGAGACATAAATGCCCAGGACAAAACCAAATTATTTGCAGAGGAGGGGCTTTAAAAAAGACATTGGATAAAAAAAAAAAAAAAAAACATCATTATAAAGATCACAAACATAAGGAGTGAGATACGCTCAGCGCAATTTCCTATTAGTCAGCAGTTAACATTGTTTCTAACAGGAATTGAGGTATAATTACCTGTAAATGAAGATAGCAGAACGCATGCTAGCTAAAGAATCGTACTCGGGGTCGGTGCTTGAAGGGTCGCTGGTAATATGCTGCCATCCATCTTTAGATTAAAATACAGTGAAATTAATGTTAATTATAGTGGCCGGGTTTCTTGTATTCCCAGATGTTGTGAGTCCGGACACGTTGCGTATCCGGACAGTTTATGGTAAAACAACAATTTGAAGAAGTTTACAGGCAATATTTCACAAATATTCTAAGATTTATGTTGGAAGATGTTATAAAGGACAATATATTGATGATGATTGGTACTATTTGATGAATATTTTTCGTCAAATCCGAATTCAGAACAGAAGGCTTTATGTTTGTTAAGTTCCCTGACATCTCCACCCCCCCCCCCCTCTCATCACACAAAGCGCACACAAAGTCCCCAACTCTTTCCTGGGTATGGGAGGCAAATATCAATTAACTCCTTGTCAAAGGAAATTATTACTGTGTCTGGAATTGAACCCACAACCTTGCATTTTAAGGCAAGCGTTTGAACCACTCGACCACGACACCTCTAGACTTGCATTGAAAGGGGAAATTTAGCCTATTCACCTTGTGTTTGTTCAAAGCATAAACAGTTGATCATATTTTGCAAAGTCTCTGTCCTTAGAGTCTGCAAAAGAGAATCCCGAGTACACGCTTGTGTGCACATGACGAAGTCAATACTAGGTATATCAAGACTCCATCTCTCCCCTCTGTAAGTCACCTTTGTGGCTGTGATGTGTTCAACCTGAGGATGTCTTTGGCTCTCTTGAAGACTTCCTCCGGTCTCGGCTGGGGGTGTTGGCCAACCTGGAGCTGGTTTAGGGCTCTCCTGCACCTTGGACAAGAAGAGGTTCATCATGGATGTCACCTCCTCATCCTGAAGACTCTTGCAGAGTTTTACCCACGAGGAGCATCTCATGGTGGTTGGCTGCTTGTTGACAAAACTCTCCCTTGAAGCTTCAGGATCCGATAGTCCATGCACCAAGACTCCAATTCGAGAAGGACCTACATAAAAAGGGAATTGGCAAGAATATAAATTTAACGAAATATTGTTAATGATTTATATGCACATTTGCGAACAGTAGGGGCAGGGAATACGTGCCCCCCCCCCCCCCCTTTCCATCGAGTGGTAACAGCTATCAAGGGAAAGGAAGAAAAGTCCGAAAGGACCACGTCCTGCATCCTCTTCCTGATCAGTAGCCTCATAAATTCGCATTTCATATCCCAAATCAGACAAGTGGCCCTCCCCCTTTCGTTCCAGCGCCCCCCTAGGATCAGTGGGTATGATTGCGCTTCGCCTCTATTTACGAATACACTATCTTTTTCTTCTTTTTTCTTAATGTATTTAAATCTCACGAACAAATATGATACTACGATGAGATTGTCTCATGTGATAGAAGCAGAGACAAAGAACAGCAGAGGATTTGATGTTCAACAGCCCGCAAGAATATTTAATAAATAGTAACAAAACAACGTATGTACAGTGCGCCATCTATCTATAGAAAAGTAGGACAGAAAAAATAAAAAATTGATAACAAGATAATCAAGAAAGTTGTGTTACATTCAGGTACCTTAAATATTCTTTCGAAAAAGGTTAGACTTAAAGGTAGTCTGTCCCTTTTACAGGCTGAAAATATAAAATTAAAGAAATCCTATGGTAAACATCTTGAGATAATACCAACTAAAAACTCCTTAGAAATGGTAATTGTCTCTATGTGGAATTATCTCGAATGTTGCAAATATATAGGCCTACAAAATTGTGACGTGTAGTCGTACATTTTTGTGCTGAGTAAAGACTTGATAAGTTTAATTTCGGTCGTTATAAGAACCGGGTCATAGATGATAATGTACCCTTTAAATACAGCTAATTTTATCTATGTTATTAACAATTTTTTTTAAAATCGGTAAGTCACTCAAAAGTGTCTGAAAGTGTCTAGAAAGTAAATGGTTTCACTTGCATAACTAGGTCACTGCTAATGTTTACATTTCACATATGGGACATACGTGACATACTCATGATTCCTGAAAAGTTCTACAGAACTCGATGTTGGCTGCTAAAGGGATACACTATACCTTTAGTAGAATAGTTTTACCAAGAAATATTATATTTCTAATGAGGAATCCAAATCTGTCTTTCATTTCTAGAACTCGGATTCTCGGAAACAATATCAATCATCTGATGAGGTATCTTTATTAAACATCTGTTTGACGCGGTAAAACCGTGGTAGTTTTTCATGAAGACATACACTTCAGATCTTTCAACACAGAGCTGAGAATACGTGCAATACCTTTGTTGCGCTTTTGGAATCTATATGTTAAGAACCGCGACGTGCTTTTTTTACGTTGGCCAGTATAATTACGCGCAGTTGGAAATCATGTACACGTAAATAAGCACGACGGGCTTTTTTGCGGCGGTTTATAGAAACATTATTATTATGTGAGTAGCATAATTTTGTCGAAGAAAATCTTACACTACTATGGCATCAATATCATCAAAGAGAAAAATAACTCCGAGTCTAGAAAAACGTATGCTAGTTTTGTAAATGTAGTATCAAACAAAATAGTTCAACTAGTTCTTCAGTTTGTGTGGTATATCGATAGGAGTGAAGTACATTTAGACATGATTTTCTACAAAAATGGGGAAAAAGCCAAAATGTGGCAAAATATTCAAAACATCCACTATTTGGTTCGCCGATTATTTCACTCCACAAAAAAAATCAGAATTGATTGTAAACACGGGATTATTTGACCCTTTAAGCATTTGACAAAAAGTGCATAGCGTTTGGTCCCCCATAATAAAAAATATCATGACCGTTTTACTGCTAGGATAGTTTTCCAGATTATTTGTGTGTAATGTATTCTAGACCAGGCTAACTAGCGCTATACTCTCTTAAAAAAAGAGAGAATTTTCACTCTATTTTCACTTTCTTGGGAGTGACGTCCGTGATCACTTGTTTAGGAGTGAAAATTGATTGATTTTAGAGTGCTCTCTAAGAAGAAAAGAGTGAATGTTTACTCTATTTTCACTACATTTTCACTCTCCAGAGGAGTGACGTCCGTGATCACTCGATTTTCTTTAGAGAGTACTCCTACCTAGATACTCAAAGATGTCGATTTTACATTTGTTTTCAACCTTCAAGGTCGCTTAGTTCTTACTTTTTGATGAGGGATACATATCAAAGATACAATTCACTTTATTCGAGGCAGTAGTAAAAGTACATTTTTACTCTTCAATTTACCAACAATTAACCTATTTCTATGTAATGTGTTTTTATTCTATCGTTTCCTTCCAAATTCCTCGTTCCCCACCCCTTTTTTTGCCGAGGATGTACTTACCGAATTCTTTACTAAGATGAGGAAGGAACTCGTCGTACTGGGCATCCTGCACATCAGTAATAGACAATCTTCCCCTATCGATTGAATGAATCAAGATCACCGCATCATACTGACATAATACACGACGTACCCGTACAAGATCGGTTGCAATACAAACATAGGTTACATTAACATTGTCATGACTTTCCAATTTTGAAATGAATTCTCCATACTCGCTTCGGGATGGAGACATAGAACATACAGCCAAGGAAACCGGGTCGTCCATTTTCGTTTTAACAGTCAAGCTTAATGTAACTGCTCTAGAATCGCTGCCACACGTTTATATATCCCAACAGAGAGGAAGTGAAAAAGAAAGCAGGCGTGGTATATAACTTTCCTAACATGGGCAAGAATATGCAAGCAAGCAGATCACGAGACAGTGATGATGAAATATGTTATTTGTTGAAAGTTCTAGCAGCTTTTATTGCGTAATAATATTCTACATGTTCTACGTATAGAAATACAGTCGCATGATTTATTTAAATACAGCATAGTATACTCGACGAAGATCATTTGTGAACAAGGATTCAAGAAAATGGCAACTCCAATCGATGATGCCTATAGCCGGGTGGATGCTATCTGCGACCAGGAAAGTAAAACCACGGTCATGTTCGTCGGAGCTCCCGGAGCTGGAAAGTCGTCCTTAATCAACTCCTTAATCAACATCATCGACTACGACAAGGATTCTAGGCAGAAGGGTATCAACAGGTACATCCCCACTGCCCCTAAGGATATGATGGGTGGACACACCCTTATGCGGGAGCAGGTGGAATTGACCGAAGCTCTGACCATTGTGGATAACCGTGGGTGGCACGACTGGGGGAATGAAGTTGCTCTGAAAGAGCTAGTCGCTCAAATAAGTAAGGTTACATTAATATTACTTATCGTAGTGATGATAGTGATAGTAAGAACGATGATGATGATAATGATGATTATGATTATCATGATGATGAAAGTAAAAGTAAGAACAAATAGTAGTAGTAGTAATGATAATAGTAGAAATGATAATTATAATGATGATGATAATTATAATGATAATAATAATGATCACGATAATAATTTAATGATAATAATAATAATGATTTGGATAACAATAACATTAATAATAATACTACTTCTACTACTACCACTACCACTACTGTTGCTGCTGCTACTACTACTAGCTACTACTAGGCCTACTAATACTAACAGTAATGATAATAATAGTACATGTAGTAATAACAATAATAATGGTAAAGATAAAGGTATGATATTGCTGAGGAATGGATTAGTAATTATTATAAGAACGGTGATAATGAAGACAGTAATCATGATACCAATACAAATGTTATGATGATGCAATGGTTAAATAATGATTAACATCAGTTTGATATATCTTAATAATTTTTTTTTTCAGATGCTCAACGGGCCTTCGTTGATGATGTCGATTGGGAACATGAAGTAGAGGAAGAAGACATCCTGGAAATTCCTCTAGTTATTGCCGAGAAAATAAGCTGTGTAACCATCGTTATCAAGTGAGTCTCCCCCACAATATTCATCTACTTGTTGGTGTTTGGATGCTGCTTATAAGTATCGGCTTGCATGGCGATGTAGATATACAGTAGGCTTGAGATTGCACCATGTGTGAGAGAGAGGGATGATTGGGGAATCCTGAAAAGGACTCTCGGTAATCTTTCTTTCTTGAGTGTGTGTAGTCCTGAAAAGGACTGTTGGTGTAGTATTGAAAAAGACTGTTGGTTATCTTTATTAGTTTATAGTTCTAAGGAGAACTATAGCGCCGATTGGAGAGGATGGGAGGTAGGTAGGTGGTAGTTTGCTTTTAAAAGGCATCGTTTAACAATACTAAATCTGAGATGCATGGCCCTATGTGTTATCAGTGTCTGTGATATGATGTAATTTGTAGCCCTAAAAAGTTTGCGCTTCAAAATGATCATGAAGTGCTTCAAAAAAGCAAAAATCTTCGAGTGACCGGCTTCACCATCCTCATTTTCCCGTTGGGAAATGGTTTTCGAAATTTCGATTTCCAATCATGAATATCTTGACAATCAGACAGGCGATTTGGCTGTTAAAGTCATGGGATTCCTGACTGACCTGAATGTTTCAAATTATGATTGCAGCATGAGCTAATCCATGATTTTGTTTAAATATCAGGGGCCGATCTATGGAGGTTAGGGGGTTTAACCCCCCCCCCCCTGCGGCTACCAAGTGAAAATGTGATGTGCATAGAAAAATGCCATCATGTGTCCAGACCCACACAGTATCCGCAACGTCATTGGCTCTACCCCCCCCCCCCCCCGATCCGCCCCTGAATCTGATGCAAAGATATCCAATCCCTTTAAGACAATGTATTAAAGCAATGCCGCGCAAAATCCCTTATAGCGCTTTCCCATGTATGCTGTTGCATTGTGATCCCTGGACGTGCTGTTTCCCGAGCTGACCTGCGCTTATGATTTCATGAGTCTTCTGTCTGTGAATTTGGAATAGGTATTGGTTACGCACTGTGGCCAAGTTGACCGTGAGATGGCTCTGTACAATAACTGTATCAGTTCAGTATCGCTTTAATATATACTCAGCTTTTGTTAAGCATATCTTAACTACATACATAACTACATCTTATCTCCTTTTTGTAAGATTTGTTTTAGATTGTAAACGATGTGGGCAAAATTGCCATGTTCCTACCTAGCTCCTTATGAATCCTTATGAATCCAGTTTTCAAGTCGCTATTTCCATAGCTTAAGAATGTTGACTTAACATACTTTATCATGTTCAAGAACCATCTATCTGATTTACAAGCGATGATTAACAGTTACAATCCAGTTCCACGATGTGTTATAATCATACATGTATGAAGCAATATTTTCGACGCTCATTAATTAATTAATAGTAAGTAAAGGTTTTCGTCGCACCATCCCCTTTTCTTTTTTAACTCTCTCCCTTTCTCTTTTCTAATCTCTTCCCCTCCCCTCTCTCCCCTCTCCCTCCCTCCCTCTTTCCCTTTCTCTTTTATAATTTTTTCCCCTCCCCTCTCTCCCCCTCTCCCTCCCTCCCTCCCTCCCTCTTTCCATTTCTCTTTTATAATCTCTTCCCCTCCCCTCTCTCCTCTTTTCCCTTCCTCCCTCTCCCCTTCTTTCTCTAACTCTCTCGCTGAAGTGGGAAAGGTGGTATCGGTGCACTCAAAGGCATGCAGAATCTGGTCAAGACGTGTAATAAAGAGACTGGTAAGACTACATGTATTTTCTGGAATACTTTTGTGAGAAAAAGATGTGAACAGTCTGAGAATAAATCAGTAATTACATTTTCAGTTTGTCTTTTCAACAAATAATTTGAATTTAGATGTTCTACGGGAAGGTTGGGAAGGCTAGTACTCGATGTTACCCCCCCCCCCCCCACTAGATATTTTTTTGTAAAATGCTCTACATTACCAGTGACTTTATTTGTGTTAATTTTAACCATTTAAATTATTTAACTCAGATTAAGGAGTTTTTCTTTTGTTGTGTTGTATCATATATGTACATTTTGGGGTTCGTGTTTGGTTTCATTTGATGCCGTTGTTATTATCATCTACAAGTAATTTGTTTGTAATAATTTGTTTAAAGCCGACTCTTAGTGGGACTGCCCTGCTCACTCAATAAAGAAACATATAAAAGAACTAATAAAGAAAATATTTAAAAGTTAACAATAATATTTGATAGCATAGATAGATAGATAATATGGATAGATATTTGAGATAACAATGAAGGAATGACTAAATAAAGTATTAAATGAATGACCGGGGTAATAATATATCTGTAAAGCGCTTAGGCACATCGTTGGATCGATGTATTGAGCGCTTTATAAACACGGAATATTATTATTATTATTAATAGATAATTCAATAAATGAATAAATAGATAATTGAGAAAGAAAAAAATAGGTGTAACCGACTGGCTGCCCCCCCCCCCCCCCAGAAGAAAACTTGTGATATGAACTTATCTGTCCTATCGCTATGTAACCATTGTAACCACATTCCTTACAGCGAGGTAGAAACGAAATATTTAAAAGAAATTAAAATTTGTTCATTAATATTAAAGAAACCTACTTATTTGTTTCAAACTGACATTTAGTTTAGTTTATGTTCTATTGTTGTGTGTTTATTTTATTAATCAGGTCGCAAGCCATCGGTCGTTGTCACTCATAAAGATCATATGACTAAGGATCAGATTGAGAAGGTAAAATCTTTGCTGGAGAAAGAGCATGGGATCGGCAGAGAAAGAGTGTTCGTCATCCAAAACAAAATTGATATTGATACCTGTCTTGAAGCTGGCTCAAAATCACGTCTTCTCGATTTCCTTGAACGCTGTATTGCTGATGGTAAAGCCGGGGGTAGCTTCCATAGCCAGAAAGAAAAGAGACACGAGATCCGAGTAGAGTATAAGAAAAAGGTCGATGCGCATAAGGCCGCAGAAAGAAAGAAGCGGAATGGCGAAGCGATTGAAATCTCTGCTCAAGAATTAGAGCTTGTGCGATCCGTACAAGAGAAACTGAGGCTTGAAATAGTGACAAATAAAGAGAAAGCGTTGGTCGATATTGATGAAGCTATAAAGAATGATGAGCGAAAGCATTTGCAGAATATGCAAAAGGAGGAAGAAAAAAATTATGCGGCGTTACAAAAGCTTGAAAAAGAAAATGAGCTCAAGGCCATGAAATATGCTGCCGAAATGGCAATGAAGGAAGGTTCCAAAGTGTGTGAGAGATTAGCTAAAGAGGGCCGTTTCTTCAAATGAAAAGAAAATGAGAACATGGAATATGAGTAAACGAAATCTGTTTTATATTGTTCTAAATGATGGACCTATATTTGCTTCTTCGAAATGAATTCATATCATTCAAATTAATTTCAGTCAAATCAGGAATTTTCGGCTACACCTTATGCTTTGCTCATACCAACTAAAGTCAGTATGATACAATTATTAAAGTGTTAAAATTGAACTGTTATGACGATGGTGTACATAATTAATATCGAGTTTTTATTTTTTTATCATAACTACAGGAAAAAAGTATTAGATTATGATATCTGTATTTTAGATTGGCAGCAGTTTAAAGTAGATACAAATATCCTGTTTTGGGCAATACAATGTATTTAACGTTATGTGTGTGTACTGCGAAATATTACAGACTCATTAAGGCGGGATACATTTAAATTAATCTTGATGATGTTTTTTGTAAAGACATACGTAATATTATGCTAGCGAAGGATCCTTAGCCCTAATTGTCGTCTTATAAAGATAAGATTATATTATTAAACACTGTCAACAGCCCTATGTTTTCGTTATACCGGTATCAAGAAACTATAACTATGAGTTTAAATGTTTATTGTAATCAATTTTTATTCTCGAATAACTGAAAATGTTTGATAATGCGGGTTGCAGAAACTGATCTAACTATAATGGAAGCCCCTTTCCCCCTTCCAACCTCCCACCGAAAAAAGAAGAAGAGGTAAATTGATTTTCTAGATAGAGATGACCCGACATGGGTGTGCGTGTGTGTGTGTCCGTGTGTGTCCGTGTGTGTGTTTGTGTGTGTATTCGCCGTTTTCAAGGTTATAATAAAGGGGGTTATGAATGACTAATTTTGACTCGTTTGTAAAAAAAAAAAAAAAAAAAAAAGGGTAATGTGGATGAAAAGAGAATTGTACGGAGAAAAATCAATAAGAATGAAGCTATACTTTGATTTCTGCTTCAAGATGGTAGGACGTAGATTTATTTTGTTGTGTAACTATGATTCCAAGTTATCAAGTTTCAAAGTATCTATTTAGAAATGATAAAAGCATTGGAAGAGTTACAAGGTTGTAGGAATCTTGAAGAAAAGAATAATCTAAATATTTTTAACAATAAGAGACTCTTATCATGCCACAGGGCTTATCCCCATTGTGCCAAGCACCAAATCTCCCCGTGCCAGATAATCTGATTTAACGCGATGGTTCTATGAATAGCGCGTGCAAAACACGCAGTACACTACAATGAGCATGAACATTAACTTCTATTACGAATGCGTGCAAGCATGCAGAAAGCAGAGAAGCAGTGGCTTGCTCGCATGTACAAAGCACTATAACGGTAGCGTGCATGCAGCCTTATGGCAGGCTATGAGTTAAAAAAGAACATTATTTTTGATGAGAAGTTGTTTACACGCAATACAATTTCAGTTCAAGATATTTTGCTAAAAATGGCATGCGGTCAATATTTAATTTTCAACATTTGCGGTTAAAACTTAAAAGGAAGCGAAATTGTTAATGTATGGAATATTGAGGAAGCTGTTTTGAGAAGCGGAAAAGATAACTGGAGTTTAGTGGATGTAAAAGAGTACGATATTTTAATGCAGTGTAAAAGTACTGTGAAGTTCCTCAGAGATATATTATCGCGGATGGTTTATGAATATTTCATAGAGAAGTTGCAAAATGTATTTGTTTTGAACATTCACGATTGACGGGGATTTTCAGGTTTTTTAAATGAGGTATATTGGGAGATATTTAGTAGGTCTAGGAAAGTTACTCTCGTTAACAAACTAAGAGAAATTCAATATAAACTGCCTCGTGTAGCGATATATACTAGAGAACACTTATTGAGATTCGGCTTTGTTGAAGATAACTTGTGCTCATTCAGTAAGCAAAAGTTTGAAACATATTAGCACTTGTTTTGGGATTGTGTACAAGTTCAGAGGTGTATACAGAATGTAATAGCTTAGTTTGAGCTAATGTAATCAAGGTTTGTCGACTGTGTGGATATTCATTTAGGGTTGTCCGGTAAATTCCACGAATAAAGATATTTAGTACAATTAGTTTTGCAATGAAATATTGGATATATATATATATGCAGGGGAAAGTCCGTAATATTGCCTTTGGGTGATTTTCAAAAGGAACTGTTGGAATTTAGGGGAAATTAAAAGAATACTGCATGGAGGGCAGATAAATTAGCCTTACATTTACAGAAGTGAGAACAAGTGAAGTTTTCATGAACTTTTAATACTTGGTAATTGTAGCTTCGTTTTAATTATTTGTTTTAATATATTTTTTTTAATAGATATTTTCTGTTATACTGTCGCTCCAATTTTGGGCATTCTGAGGAGGCTAAGAACAGTGTGTGATACAAGTGTGGAGGTGTGGTCGTGTGTCGAATGGTGGGTGGTAGTAGTGTGTTTTTCATATTCTTGATCATCGTGAAAATGTTTTCTAAACAGTTTATTTTATTATTGCAATTTATGTTAAATCAAAAATATCAATGTACAATGTATCCAGTTTCGTTGATAATTATTTGTACAGTATGTATTTGATTTGAGAGAAAATCATTAAAAAAATATCTTTAAAAAAAATTAATGTGCATTCATATGTGGATTTGTATTAGCCTGCCAACAGCAAGGCAAATTAAATAACAGTGATCAAATATGTTTGAAAAATCTCGAAAATGCGAAACCAAAAATCTTTGCCCCGCTTATTGTTCAGTGCAGCTGTATTGCGCAATTTTGTTTTGTGTAATGATACATTTAGCACTCCTGCCTGAAAGTGCAATGTCTGTCCAAAAATTAGGAATAATAAAGAACAAAAGATCACTAAATATGATAAACTAAAATTTATTCATTGTTAACAAAACAAAACGCAGGGCCCTATTTCATATTCAAGAACATCAACTTCATGAAAAGTAATGCTCATGCATACAGCCATGCAGCAATTTCAGAAACTAAATTTGTTCCTCCTATTATGATTCTGATTATGATTCGCTCATAACATCCCCTCCCAAAGTTGGCATACCGATACACTATATGAATCATTTTTTACAATGGTGTATTTAATTTATTGTGAGATGTTATTCTTTCATCATATCTAAAGGGAGACAAAAACTGTTAAAAAATAATATCTGTATTTTAGATCGGCAGCGTTCAAGTTGTAGTGGAGGTTTTGTGGAGTCATTTTAGCTTGCACCTTGATCATAAGAACACGGAGCTCCGTTGAAACTGACTGAACTCCATAATCTGGAAATTGAAACTTAAATTAACAACATTAGATATTAGTATGAAATGCAAACGAAATTAATTAGTGACAGTTTGCACCATTGGCTACTGAGCTAAGTTAAGTTTTATAATTGATTGAAATGAGTGTTTATGCTCGAATAACTGAAATTTTGGCTGATTCGGGTGGCAGAAACTGTTCCAACTGTAATAATGCCCCCCCCCCCCCCCCACCCACCCACTTCCCACCCCACCCAAGATTTTTTAGATAGAGATGACCCGACGTGTGTGTGTGTGTGTGTTTTCGCCGCTTTTACGTGCATGAATATGTGGAGGTGAATTTTGCCTGTCAACAGCAAGGCAATTGAAATAACAGTGATCAAACAAGTTTTAAGAACAGGAAATTGCGAAAAAAAATCTTTGCCCACCCTATTGTTCAGTGCAGCTGTATTGTGCAATGTATAATTGCGCAATGATGTATTTGGCGCTCTTGCCTTATAGTGCAATGTCTGTTAATTAAACTAGGAATAATAGAGAACAAAAGATTACCGAATTTGATAAACTAAAAATTAATTCATTGTTAACAATAGAATACGCAGAATACGAAGAACATCTACATAATATAAGTAAAATTAATGTTCATACACACATGCATGCAGCAATTTCAGAAGCTAATGTAAACTATTATAATGTTGGAATTGATTCTAAATGTTATGAAACATGGCCCGGTAAATTAGGGCAGTCTCACATCCTAACTGCTGTAAAGCGCTATGTTTTTATTCCGCACTCTAATTAAGCAAGAGCACGGAGGTCGCATTAAATCGTTCCCTATCCATTTTTACCTCTCTTCATCTATATCTGGGCGTTTGTTTTTCAATAAAAACTTGTCGTCAATTACATAACACAATAAAACAAAATTATAAGCTAATGAAATCCTTACATGTGATTGGCTATAAACAAATTTCGCATAGGTCTGTATGAGTTGTTATTGGTGACAAGTTTAATTAAACAGGGCCCTTGTCGTTTGTGGCCCATTCCAGTCGACTCAGAACAACGTCCGATTATCAATGTTCTCTACACTTGAGAATTGAAAAGGATAATTTTCTTTTGATTTATAATGATGCTGATAATGTTTGGGTATACAGTATGTATATACACCGAGAACCATACATACAAACTTATAGCAATTGAACTGATGTCAATATGTGTGTCAGCAATCAGGGCATAGAGAGAGAAAAATCTTATCAAAATTTCCAACTATTTATGTGAAATGCTTTTTGTTCATTATCAGTTATGAGTCGAATGTGTTGCACAATGCGTATTCCTTTACATTGAATAATTTTATAAGTTTGTTTAGCGAAATCCAAATGATTTCAAAGATGTGTAGATTAGATCAAGCATATTTTTCATGAGCATTTTGAATGACACTGAAAAAACCCACTTGTTAGAAATGAGTCGAGGCTTGTTTTTGAGGAAGGAAGTTGCGGTATAACGATCATGTGCCGAAGAACATTGAACAATATCCTGAAAGTGTGATTTGTGTGATCCAAAATTAACATAAATTGTTATTTCTCCTATACAGGATGCTAAATTATCAAAACCTTGTAAAACATTGGCACGGCCGTTTATTATTTCAAGGGCTATCAAACCTTGGAAAGAAGTTCATCTATCTGAAAGTATAAAATGAGAGAAACAGAATGTTGACAACTTTGGATAAAAACCCAGATCGGCAAAATTAAAGGAATATTTGGAATATGTTATAATTATACGAAATCACTACATCTGAGCGAATGTCAAAATGAATATAATAATTACAACATAATTCGTTTAGAAATGCAGTCTTTACAACATATTTATTCTATCCTACTAAAAACTTAACAGGGTGAGCTGCTTACAAGTTTTCACTTCCACCCTTTATTTATCTATACCCAAGTACTTTTAGAGCCTATCTGCACTAGTTTGGCCAGGAGGGAGTAGACCTGCCTGCGTATTCACTGCCAGGTGGTTATCTCATCAAATCAGCTCTCAATTGACATAAGAAAAAGGGATCATGCACTATGAACAAAATATACAGTTCCTCAGGTAGACAAAGGAACATCCCTTCACTGCTATTATGTAAAAATGTGTAGAACAGGTGAATAAGCATGTGGCACCTGTTCTACACATTTTTACATAATAGCAGTGAAGGGATGTTCCTTTGTCTACCTGAGGAACTGTATATTTTGTCCGCTTTCTTTGTCAGTCATGTTCATAGTGATGGGAGATCAACGGGTTCCGCTAAAGGGGCTTTCACACCGGGCCTTGCGTAGAGTTGCGTAGAGTTGCGTAGAGTTGCGTAGCGACTACGCCGATCGTACGCAACCCTACGCCGATCGTACGCAACCCTACGCAACTGTACGCGGAGGGACGCGAATGGGTACGCGAGATGAACGCAAAAAATTAAACATGTTTAATTTTTTTCGCGTACCTTCGGCGTAGACTTTACTACGCAACTGTACGCCAAGCCTACGCAACTGTATGCCAAGCCTACGCAACTGTACGCCAAGCCTACGCAAATGTACGCCAAGCC